TTTTTTTTTCTCAGAATTGCGATTTTTTTTTCTCTTTGGATTCTGAGTTTACATCTCACAATTCTGTTTTTTTTTTTTTGTTTCCACCACAAAAATAAATTCTATTAAGTTTTTTTTACTTGTTTGATGTGTTACTTTATTTCTTTGTAGGGCTGGTGATTTTTCTGATTTTATCGATTCATTTGAATTGAATGTTTTGCCACGATTTTATTTTTTAGAAATCGAGGAATCGCGATTTTGAATAGAAATATTTCCAAACTTTAGAATTAGACACTTTGGCAATATGCCAATGATAACAGTAAAGAGAAAAGAACAATCCAACCGCATGTCGGCGCACGTGATTAACCGCTCTGTGAAGGATTGTAAGTAGAATATATCGCTAGACGCCATTCACACAGAATGCGCTTTTGTATTAATAAAGACGTGAAGCAGGCAGTGGAATAGGAAAAACATGCAAGAAGATGGGAATTAACTTATTTTAACTTGAGCACAGTGTTTTTAGAATGCCGTTTCATGCATGAGACGCTGCAAGATACGCGAGCGCAACATTCAAGCCCGTCCATGTTTATATAGAAAAAACAGCGCAATTGAATAAAAACCTGTAACTACTACTGTATGTCTGATATTTCATGTTTACATCATGGTGACCGGCTGAAAGCTGCTGTTCATTGTTTTTACAGATCATTTATAGTTAATAATAGTCTACTGGTGTTATACCTTCAGTCATTTTGAATTTAAATTACCTTGACTTTTTAAAGCATTTTGCTCGTATTATTTCTGAACATATAATATGTATAAGACAAGTTTGTACAAGATGTAGTTGCATGCATCTTTTTCTGCAAAGAAATTTGTTTACGTTTACATCATGTTGACAACTTCATGTGTGGTGCACTTGGAATAGAATTATCTTTAAATAGAAGATTAATAAAGAAAAAGTTACTTGAATCATGTTGTAGTTACATTTTCAAGTTGACTAGTTAAAAATCGTAAAAAATCGAGAATCGGTCAAACTGATTCTGACAAAAATCGAGATTTTATTTTTCACTCAGCCCTATTTCTTTATAATCATTTTTAATTTTAATTAATTTTTTTAATATGTTTCTGATTGAAAATTGTTTCAAAATGAATCCTACAAAGATGTTTACATTCATTTTTTTAGCAGATGCATTTATCCAGAGATGCAGAGGTTGTTGTTGACGTCGTGTTCACTCGTTGTTCGTCTCTCCGTGATGACTGTGTTCTCCGCAGGCGTCTTCATCATCTGCTGGCTTCCTTTCTTCTTGACGCACGTTCTGAAGGCTCACTGCGGCAGCTGCTGCATCTCTCCGTCGCTCTACAGCGCCGTCACGTGGCTGGGTTACCTCAACAGCGCCGTCAACCCCGTCATCTACACCACCTTCAACATCGAGTTCCGCAAGGCCTTCATTAAAATCCTGCACTGCTGACAGACGGCAGGCGATTCACTGAACAAAAGAAGCTCCAGACATTTGTCAAGATAACACCGATCAGGAGACACAGTGACAAAGACAAGACGAGTCGTTTGAGAAGGCTTTGTTTGTGGAACTGATTGTCTGAAACAGGTGTTACAGTACTGTGACATTGATGTGTTTTTAAAGGAGTAGCTCGTCCAGAAATTAACATTTTGTCATCATTTGCTCCCTTCATGTCCAAACCCGTATTATTATTTTTTTCTGTGAAACACAATGGGGACACGCTGACATCATGATGTTTTTAAGCGAAAGCGATCATAAATGTGTGGACGTTCTGACTTACAGTACCTTCTTGAAATTCCTAGTTTAAATGTTGCAGTTCTGGCTTTTTTTCTCAGAATTCTGAGTTTACAAATTGGAATTCTGTTTATTTGTTTTCGCCATGCAATTCTGATTTATATCTCGCAATTCTGTTTGTCTTGCAATTCTGACTTTATATCTCGCAATTCTGTTTGTCTTGCAATTCTGATTTTTGTCTCGCAATTCTGTTTGTCTTGCAATTCTGATTTATATCTCGCAATTCTGTTTGTCTTGCAATTCTGACTTTATATCTCACAATTCTGTTTGTCTTGCAATTCTGATATATGTCTCGCAATTCTGACTTTATATCTCGCAATTCTATTTGTCTTGCAATTCTGACTTTATATCTCGCAATTCTGTTTGTCTTGCAATTCTGACTTTATATCTCACAATTCTGTTTATATCTCGCAATTCTGTTTGTCTTGCAATTCTGAGTTTGTCTCGCAATTCTTATTTATATCTAGCAATTCTGCGTTTGTCTCGCAATTCTGATTCATATCTCGCAATTCTGTTTGTCTTGCAATTCTGAGTTTGTCTCGCAATTCTTATTTATATCTAGCAATTCTGCGTTTGTCTCGCAATTCTGATTCATATCTCGCAATTCTGTTTGTCTTGCAATTCTGAGTTTGTCTCGCAATTCTTATTTATATCTAGCAATTCTGCGTTTGTCTCACAATTCAGATTTTTTATCTTGCAATTCTGATTTATGTCTCGTAATTCTGACTTTATATCTCGCAATTCTGGATTTGTCACACAATTCTGTTTTTTTAGAATTGTGAGATAAAAAGTTGCAATTACCTTTCTTATTAAAAAAAACAACAACTTCAGAACACTATACATAAGATATATAGACTCTTTTCTGATAAATGAATGGTGTTTTTGTGCTTTTTGGAGTTTGGCCATATAAATCACTATTCATTTTCACAAAACAGAAGCTCAAACATTCTCCTAAACATCTCCATGTGCTTTTCACAGAAGAACGACATGAGGGTGACTAAATGATGATGATGAGCAGAATTATGATTTATGGATGAACTATGCCTTTAAATCATGTTTTTATCCTCGGAGCAGGTCAATCGTGCTGAAAATGGACAATTTTCCTGTTATAAAATGTGCAATTTAAAGCTACAGTTCACAGAGTGAAGCTCTCGTCTGGTGGATTTCAGATGATGCTGAGATAATCAGTTTGTCTTTAAACTCCAACCAGTTTAATCATCTTCGAATATTTAAACATGTTTCGGACTGAATAATTCAGTGGAATCTCTAGTGCTGATATAAGATATACTGATGCTGACTGACTCCAGAGGAAATAAACACTCCAAACATATTCTGCGTCTCTAAGAAAGCGCAATCTAATGTGACGTCATGCTGAAGCTCTGAATCTGTACTGTTTGCTGTAAATAACATGATGTAAATATGCAGTATTGAGATTTTTGTCCTCTACAACATGACTTGATAATGTTCAAATATTTGAAAACCTTCCAGTTATAGATGCATCGTCTCTTAAAGGGCTTATTTCATGAAGAATTAAATCCATTTTGGCTGAATTTGGGCAAAAATAAGACATGTTTTGGAACAGGTTTTGCCTGCATAGGCACTAGACTCAAACTGAGCCAGAAGGTAGAAAATATGTCATGAAAAACTAAATAATGACTGCATACATTTGTTTTAAAAAATAATTGTATAAATATTTATTTTAGCTCAGCAACATTTCTCATTTCCATGTAGTTTAACTTAATGTATTAAAATAACTAAAATTAATAAAAAGTTAAAAGTTATGGTATTTTGATGAAACTATGATATATGAATGAGTGGCATTTTAGTATCATTGAGATTTATTTTTAGTTTTTGTTAATAGTTTGAATTTTCTCTTTCCATTCAATTTTAGTCAAAGTTTTAGGAATTTTGTTGTCTATTTGTCGTTTTATTATTTTTATCTTTGTACATAGTTTTTAAAATTAATTTTTCATTTTTGGTTATTTTAGTTCACCAAGTTAAACTAAATTAAAATGAGAAATGTTGCCGTGGCAGCTACATGAAATAAAGTTTTTAATTTTATTTATGAAATTGTTTTTTTTTAACGGTTTTAATTTTAGTTTCAGTTTTAGTCAACCCCAATAACTGTCTCAATGATACTAAAATAATACTGATATGTTACAGTATTATTTTAGTATCATAAAGACACTATTATAATTTTTATTAATTTTTTGTATTTTATTTTTTAGATGATTTTATTTCAGTTTTAGTTTATTATTTTTGTACATCAAGTTAAACTGAGTGAAAATGAGAAATGTTGTCTTGGCAACTAGCTGAAAGTTACATTTTTAAATATTTTGTATATTTTATTTTATTTCAAGTAACCTATTTTTTAATGGTTTTAGTTTGTGTTAACTGTAATAACCCTGATAATGACTCGTGTGACCTTTTAAAGCAGCCTGAAGACTTTGAATCTCCGGTTTCTTATTTGTTTGCCTTCCCTTGTCCTTTAGTGTAATCTGACGTCTTAACTGAGTTGGTTTAATCTTGTTTTCGATCTAACTGCTCCCATTACAGATTGCAGGTCTCCTGTTGACTTCCAGCACCTCACGGTTCGATCCTGTAATGTGATCGGCAGGTAAAAACCCTCCTGGGGTGAAACAGGATTCACAGCTTCAACCACACATGCACCTAATATCTGTCACGTTTTATCAAATACATGAAAGCCTTTATATAATTGTGCAAATCAGCCACCGGTGATCAATGCATGCAATGTGAAGTATTGATGATTTTTAACCCGCAGCAGTCATTAACCCTCATGCTGAGTCACTGGCTCTCTGTTGTTTTGTGACCCGCAGTATATCTTACTCTCAGTCGCTCAACTCTGACCCCGTCTAACAATAATCAGCATGCATTTTTCATCAGCCTATCCGTTACAGCTCTTCATAAACTTCCCGAGACAGCAGCTGAAGCTTTATACTGAATGCAAACCCATGCAATGCTGTTGAAATAGACGAAGCGAAGGACAGGAGCAGGCGAGGTGAAACACAATGAAGCATGCCGAGCATCGCAGGGGATTGAACGGATGGAGTATGCAGTGCACAGTGCCTCGGCTCTTCTTCTGTTGATGCTTATCTCAGGCTTTTGGACTTTCATTACTCAAGTGTCTTCTATTGTTGGAGACGGAAGAGAAGAATGGCCTCGTGTCTTTGAATGCATGAGCTGACACAAACAATGGCTTGTGCCCAGGTAAGGACAATAGACTCTTGGTCTTCGTAACAATTCATCAAAACCTCTTCGAGAAGCTGCTGCTGTGAGTCTGCATTCGCTGAAAAGAAACTGTAGCACATGCACTATATAGAGGTGAAGCGTGTAATTAAATACTTTTTTATATCTTGCTTAAAGGGACAGAAAATTAAAACTGTGTCATCATTTATTCACGACATTCATGTCGTTCCGAACTTTTATGAGTTTCTTTCTTCTGCTGAACACAATATTAGATAATCTGAAGAATGTTGGCACTCGAAGAGTTGACGGCACCCATTGGCTTCCATGGCAGGGAAAAAAAGACTGGAAGTCAATGGGTACCGTCAGCTGTTTAATTGCCAATATTCTTCAAAATATTTTATTTTGTTCAACAGAAGAAATGTATCCAGTAGCTAAAGAAAAAAACCCATTGTAGTATTTCTGTGACTTTACAAAAAAGAAAAAAAAATGGAGAAAATGTTGCTATATTTACGATGATTATAAATGCATCTTTGAAAAAGGTCTCAACCAATGGTGTGAGTGTGGGGCGGGACTATTTGTTTAACTGACCAATGGCAGACTGGGGGAGTGTTCAGAGAAACTGTTAGAAAGCTATCACTGTTTTTGCAGTACTGTTTGGTAACACTTGGGGTGCTGAAATATTACTTATTTTTATTATTTATTTTTTACATTTGTTTTTATTTGTTTTTTTATGCATGCTGCATGTTTTGTAGCTTACCGAATTAAATAGTTAATTTAGTACTGCAGAAATAATTGCATGCTTTTCCTTTATCTTTTATTTTTTTTATTGTCTTTTTTTTTGTCAACAAAATTGGCTGCTTATCAGATGCACAAAACAAAAATCAGTAAAACAAAACTAAAGTCAAGTGACCATCATGTAAAAAATTCTCCCAGTGCAAGATTGCTTATTTGATATTTTGGTTAAGTTGATGTTTCAGTTTCTAATAACAGTATCTTACTAGTCCTTTTAACTAATTTAGCTGTGTCAGCTGGAAAATGTGAAAGTCTACAGAGCCTGTCCAGGCTTGATGATAACTGACCTTTGACCTTATGTTTAGGGTTTCTATAACATCAGCCCGGCGAAGGACAGCCGCGAGCCTCTGCAGACCTTCCCATCATGCCCTCATGCGTCCAGTCTGCTCCTAAACACGGCTCTCCCTCTGCTCACGGCTCCGGTGATGACGGACTCGCCACTCACACTGATTCCTGGATCTGCATCGAAGAGCCCCGTTCCTCAGACTCTCACGGACGCAGCGCTGTCTCTGTACGGAACAGGAAGTGCCTCAGTGCCGTTTCCTGTCCGCCCTGTGACGCTGGTCTCTGCTGGTTGTGTGCAGCTGCTGGGGGTCTCTGAACTGGCCCCGTACTCGCTGTCAGTGCTCATGCCTCATCTGTTAAACCCTCCTGAGAGAGACTCATCCGCCATCACGGGCCCTAAAACCACAGCCAAAGATGAGGAGATCAGCATACAGGACTCAGACATCAGTGCTTCTAAAAGCCCCTCTACAGACGAGACCGGTGAGGGGATAGATAGATAGATAGACAGATAGAACGATAGATAGATAGATAGATAGATAGATAGATAGAAAGATAGATAGATAGAACGATAGATAGATAGATAGATAGAAAGATAGATAAAGAAAGATAGATAGATAAATAGAAAGATAGAACGATAAATAGATAGATAGATAGAAAGATAGATAGAAAGAAAGATAGATAGATAAATAGATAGATAGAAATAGTCAGATTATAGATATTATAGATATAGATAGATAGATAGATAGATAGAACGATAGATAGATAGATAGATAGATAGATAGTTCAAGTTTTAATTCCCAAACTCTTGTGTTTTCTCGTCACAGATGTCTCTGGGATCAGACTCTGTTCATCATGTCCATCACGTCTGGCGTTGATTACGACCCTCATCCCCACCTTCATCATCCTCACCGTCTGCATCACGGTCACAGGTGCACATTCCCTCAGTAACACCAGGTACACTCATAAACGAATGGAAACAGACGGATAACTCAATGCTTTTCTTCTTTAGTGAAGTTCGTGTGTTTCCCAAACAGAGAGCAAGACATTGAGCCCCCTGCTGGCGGCTCACAGAACTGCAGCGTCTCTCCAGAGCCTTTCTATTCTGTCAAATATCCAGCCAACGACACCGTCAGCATTCCCTCGGGTACGTTATGCATACTTAAATATGAGATGATTTCATATGCAATGTTCCCCTCTAATTTTTTTTTCTTGCTGAGCAAAACTTTTTGGCCACCTGAGCAAAAACTTTCTTTATACCAGACCTGTACAGCACACACACACACAAAAAAGTGTGTAACTTTTAACTTTAATGTGCTATTTATATTTGATTTGACCCTTGATGTAACTAAATAATGCACATTTTAGGTTACCTGAGAAAACCTAACTGCACAACAGTTCAAGTCTATATAATAATACAATAGCATAATATAATAATAATACAATAATAACATAATATAATATGAAAAATCCCTTTTTGAGGTCAATTATTAGATTTATATAATATAATATACTGTAATATTATATAAAAACAAATTGAAGCATTTAAACTGACAGAATAGAATAGAATAGAAAACAACGCTTTTAAACTGAGATCTGTAAGTATTTTCAGGAAACATGATCATGTGAATTCTTATATAGTTATCTAAACATCCCCATGTAGTAGAGTTTGCTTCACTTTAATCAAGCCATTCTTCTTTAAAACATGACGACCTTTTATTTCACGTCACTGCGTGGTTCTCTTGTTGAGCGATTTCGTCCGCAACCGTTAAAGTATTCGATTTCTACAGCGACTGATTTGGCACACATCATTCTCTTCCGTTTCTACATCTATAGCATGCCAACTCTATAGCGGTTTGCCCGAGCATTGTAATTACACTGCAAAAAAAAAAAAAAGAGCTTATCTTACTTAGTATTTTTGTCTCATTTCCAGTAAAATATCTAAAAATTCTTAAATTGAGATGCATTTACTTGATAAGCAAAATGACAAGATTTTAAGTCTTGTTTATAAGATAAGTAAAAAATAAGTATAAAATAAGTAAAATGATCTGCCAGTGGGGTAAATAAAATATTTATTTAAATTTTTTTAAATTGAGATTTATGCATCATCTGAAAGCTGAATAAATAGCTTTCCATTGATGTATGGTTTGTTAGGATCGGACAATATTTGGTCGAGATACAACTATTTGAAAATCTGGAATCTGAGGGTGCAAAAAAATCTAAATATTGAGAAAATCGCCTTTAAAGTTGTCCAAGTGAAGTTCTTAGCAATGCATATTATTAAGTTTTGATATATTTATGGTAGGAAATTTACAAAATATCTTCATGGAACATGATCTTTACTTAATATCCTAATGATTTTTGGCATAAAAGAAAGATCGATAATTTTGATTGTTGGTTATTGCTACAAATATACCCCAGCGACTTAAGACTGCTTTTGTGCTCCAGGGTCACATATATTATGTAATTTTGCTTATCTATTAAATGCATCTTAATTTAAGAATTTTTATATATTTTGACTGGAAACAAGATACTAAGTAAGAAGCCTTTTTTGCCGTGTATTTCGCAGCATGCTCTGTTCCTGTCCAAGTGAACTCAATTTACCTGGTCTTTGTCTCCCAGATTGCTCCGCAGCAATGAACGCTGGGTCTCGTGGGTCGCGTATTGTCGGCGGTACGGAGGCTGTGAAGGGTCAGTGGGGCTGGCAGACCAGTTTACACTATCGGGGCAAACACGTGTGTGGAGGAGCCATCGTCAGCCCTCGCTGGGTCATCACTGCCGCCCACTGCTTCATACAGTGAGTAAGAGACGACAGACGCTGAGGGGATTCTCACGCCGCTCATCTCTGTGTTCGTCTCGTTTGGCAGATATGGCATGAAGCTGGAGTCGGACTGGATCGTGGTGGTCGATAGCGTGAGCGTCTCAGATCTGTCTCAGGGAAAACGCTACCACACACTGCAGATAAACCCGCATCCGCGATTCTCACTGGACAACAACGACTACGACCTGTGTCTGCTGCGCACACAGACAGAGATGGAGATGGGAGGTGAGTTCACGCTTGCACATTTGAATGAAACTAATTATGCAGATATAGCTTCTTCATCAGGTTTGGAGAAATGTAGCATTGCATCACTTGCTCTGCAGTGAATGGGTGCCGTCAGAATGAGAGTCCAAACAGCTGATAAAACATCACAATAATCCACAAGTAATCCACAGCACTCCAGTCCATCAGTTAACATCTGGAGAAGACAAAAGCTGAAACACATCCAGCATTAAGATGTTTTTAACTAAAACACGAGTCCATAATCCATAATAACGCTTCCTCCAGTGAAAAAGTGCCTCTGCTGTTGTCTCTCGTATCAAAATCCAGCCACATATTTGTTTAGAGCTGTTTAAACGCTGCTTGATCTGTGCAGATTTCTCTCCTGATTCAGACCAGAAAACTTTTTCACTGGAGGAAGCATTATTATGGACTCGTATTTGATTTAAAAATGTCTTAATGCTGGATTTGTCTCAGCTTTTGTCTTCTCCAGATGTGAACTGATGGACTGGAGTGCTGTGGATTACTTGTGGATTATTGTGATGTTTTTATCAGCTGTTTGGACTCTCATTCTGACGGCACCCATTCACTGCAGAGCATCTATTGCTGAGACACTGATGCAATGCTACATTTCTACAAACCTGATGAAGAAACAAACTCATCTACATCTCAGACGGTCTGAGGGTGAGGGTATTTTGGGCACATTTTCATTTTTGGGTGAACTATTCCTTAAAATACATGGAAATATATTCCATGTGAACGGACTCTGTTTAGTTTTGCACACTTTAAAAGACACAAGACGTGAGTTCAGTAGTCAAACACGTCCATCCAGCTCATGTTTACATAGAAAATAAAAGGAAAAGCAGTGCAGTAAAATGCACAATATGTGTTCTGTATGAACAGCCCTTATTGTGCATGCTATTCTAAATAATATTTTTGTTAATCAAATGCAATAACTTCATCAATATATTCATAAATTCTCATTACATATCAGGAATTCACTCTTAGATGTCACATTAGGCAGGCAGGTTTTTTAATATATGTGACCAGTGCTGGCAAAATGAGTCACAATGAGCACATTTTTAAAAAATGAGTTATTTTCAAGTCAGTTCTGAGAAAAATCAAGTTTAAGTTTTCTGAAGGTTCCAAAGCAAAATCACCTAGTTTTTTGTTTATTGTTTCCTCCACTTCCTTTCTTAATATTAACTACTATATTAAAAATCACAATATAGCCAGTTTTATTTATCTTTGTTATTAAAAATAAGAACAGATGCAAACAACAGTAGAAGAACAAATATAAGAAAGAAACAAATAGGCATAGTGCATAACTTTTTTTCATTTTACACCTAAACAAAAGCATCTAAACAAATAATCAAATGTAAAAATCACTTCAGTGTGTTCATTACAAATAAACTGATTATTAAAACTACAAAAGCAGTTCAATCAAGAGCAGTGATCGTTCTTTTATTGTTAGATTAACATTAATGAGACAGAAGGCCTATGTAGTAAGTCCTACTGATCTAATATAATGTTACACCTCAGATGTTTTCCCCAAACATTCACTTAAGTCATATCAGATTATGTTTGTGTGAATAGCCTATTTAAATACTGTAATACAGTATGTGTACGTATCGGGATCGCGTGCTGGCAGAAGCGCCTTTATGTGCGTGAATCATATATCAGTCAGCGGCAGCGCAAGAAGCGAGCAGAGAAAAAGGCTCACCTCTCAGAAAATGTACAAGTAAAGATAATTTTAGATGTTTAACTGGTCCGTGTAATGGTTTGCAGTTCTTTGTTCAATTTGCACCATCAAAATTAACCAGATAAAAACTGGGTTCAAACGTTCATTTTCCCGTTTTTTTTTTTTTTTTCCAAATACCTCACAAACGGATAATTGTCTCTCTGTTTAATTTTCGATTCTACAAGTTTAGGTTGTTGCATCCAAATAAGATTTTTGAACAAACATAAAACGCGACTCATTATTCTGATTTTCCATGACCTTAATTACTATTTGGAGCATTGAGATCGCTAGATGAGAGCTTGATGAACTCATTTTTGTGAAAACCAGAAATTTGACATTTTTTTTTCTTTTTTTTTTTTTTCCGTCTGTATCTCAAAATTAGACTGTGCATTCTGAATCATTTTGCCAGCAGGGGTCACATATGCCTCTGTGTTGTCTGTGGTTTAGACGGCGTGAGACCCGTGTGTTTGCCCCGTCTGAGAGAGTCTTTCCCTCCGGGATCGTCCTGCTGGGTGACGGGCTGGGGTTACACACGGGAAGGAGGTGAGAGCGTTTCTGAAGCGTTTACAGCATCCTGAAAGTGCGTTCATCCATTCATGTGCTTTGGTTCTCTAACAGGGTCTGTGTCGTCACACCTGAGACAGGCTTCGGTTCAGCTGATCGATCAGGCCGTCTGCTCACAGCCCTACGTGTACGGCTCACAGCTCACTCCCAGAATGCTTTGCGCTGGCGTTATGGAGGGAGGAGTGGACTCCTGTCAGGTATGCTCATGCATTAAAGGGACAGTTTGCTTGAAAACTATCATTCTGTCATTATTTACTAGGGCTGCCCTCGACTAAAGATTTTTCTGGTCGACTAGTAGTCGTTAATTTTAAGCATTAGTCGACTAATCACACGTTATAATGAGCCTTTAATTGCCTACATTGCCTAATAAGTGCTCAAGCGCACACATAAAGCTTGCCTCAGCACACCGGCAGAAGTAATGATGATGAATGTGTCAGGGAAAAACAGTAAGGAGGCTGCATTAACGTTTTAATAATTAATTGATAAACTAGTGTTTTTTGTTTTCATCTTAAGAGATGAAGTCGCGACACTGACTCGTCATCTCCGCAGTAGTGCATGCACCTGCATGCATCTTTCATACGGATTACATAATCTGAGAATATTTGTTTTCCATTTTAATTGGTTCATTTGAAAGTAGACATTTCATTCTCTATAGAGATATTTTTAATGTCTGTAAAGCAAGTATACACAGAGTTTCAGAGTTTCGCGCTCAAGTTCACAGAGACCGAGACGGCAGAAAGCGCATCCTGCTTTCATTATTTTACAAAAACGCAATGTTTTGTTGTTATCGTGAGTGCACACAAATAAACGTAGAGTCTTTACAGATTCGAAAGATGTATTACTCTTATTTGGACCAGCCCTTAACAATCTGTGTGTCTTCGCCAATGTGGATTTTTATTTATTTATTTTTTTCTGTGACTAAGCGACTAATAAAATTTTGGTCGACCAAGCCTCTTCTGGTCAACTAACGGTTAGTCTACTATTAGGGGGCAGCCCTATTATTAACTCATTCTCGTGTCATTCCAAACCTTTTGTTTTTCTTCTGTGGAACAACATGTTTAAAAAAGACTGTAAAATGTTCATGCACTGCATTATTTCAGGTCTTCTGGAGTCCTATAATAGCTTTCTGAGATTCGCTGAAAGTCCTCCTGCCTCTGTCATAGTCTGAAATCGATTCAGATACAGGGTCATCGAGACCCATCGCTTCACGCTCGATGCCGTGATGTAAAATTGTGTCAAATCTGATGCATCTTGACCTGCTAAATTTGAAATAAATGAGGTCTGAGAGCTCAGGCGGAGCTCATGATGCAAAATGACATGAAACATTATGAGGGTGAGAAAATGATGACAGGATTGTTGTTTTTCTGTGAAATATACATTTTACAATAGGGACCTATTAGTTAAAGGTTTAGTTCACCCAAAAATGAAAAATTAGTCCATAAATTACTCACCCTTAAGTCATCCTAGGTGTATATGACTTTCTTCTTTCAGACGAATCCAGTCGGAGTTATATTAAAAATTGTCTTTGATCTTTCAAGCTGGGAACAACTAAGAGACCATGCTGAGAAGATCGTAAATTGCGAATTTGCGTATAAGGTGTTAAAAGATCTACCAGATACTGTGGAGCGAGACCATGCAGAGGCTTGTATGTAAGCATTAAGATTTTAAAATCTATGCGGTATTTAACAGGGAGCCAGTGTAACGTCTTCAAAACAGGAGTTATATGGTCGCCAGCCCTAACCCCAATTAAAATTCTAGCTGCTGAATTCTGCAAGTATTGCAGTTTGTTAAGAGAGCATTTGAACTCTCCAACAAGGAGAGCATTGCAATGATCAATTAGTGAGAAAACAAAATAATTAATAAATTTTTCAACAACAGAAAAGGGCAACATAGGCCGAATAAGTGCAATATTTCTAAGATGAAAAAAGGAGGTCTTTACCGTGTTCTGTACAAAAGGCTCGAATGACAGGGTGGCGTCAAAGATAACACCAAGATTTTTTAGTTTACTGTGTAGCTATAGGGCAACACCATCAACTGATAGATCTATAGAAGCAGCATTTTGCAGTTGGTGGGGAGAGCCAAGAAGCATAACTTCAGTTTTAGAGCTATTCAGACACAGAACATTTTTAGACATCCACAACTTAATCTCAGAAATACAGTTGAAAAGATGAGGGACATCCACAAATTGACTAGGTTTTTAGACATCCACAACTTAATCTCAGAAATACCGTTGGAAAGATGAGGGACATCCAGAAATTGACCAGGTTGAGAATGTAAATAAATCTGAGTATCATCAGCATAGAAGTGGTAGCTGAGGTTAAGGGATCTTAATAGCTGACCAAGAGGATATATATAAATGCTAAAAAAACAGGGGACCAAGGACTGAGCCCTGTGGGACACCAGTACAAACAGGATCCAAATCAGATCTGAAACCATCCATAAAGACAAATTGACTGTGACCCGTAAAATATGACCTAAACCAATCTAGTGCAGTTCCAGATAAACCAAAGACAGTTTCCAGTCGATTTAGTAAAAGCATGTGGTCAACAGTGTCGAAGGCTGAACTAAGATCGAGTAAGATGAGAATCGAGAGAGCGCCAGAATCAGAAGCTAACAGTAAGTCATTAACAACTTTAACCAAGGCTGTTTCAGTGCTGTGCAGTTTCCTAAACCCAGATTGAAAAGGCTCAAACAGATAACAGTTTAATAAATGGTTGTGTAATTGAGACGAAACAACACCCTCTAAAATTTTAGCAATAAATGGAAGATGGAAGATTGGACGAAAGTTACTGAGATTGTTCGAATCACTGTTTTGCTTTTTTAATATGGGAGTGACAGCAGCAGTTTTAAGTGCTGCTGGCACAACACCAGTGGCCAAGGAGTCATTTATTATTGTAAGAACAACAGGGCACAAATAACCAAAACAGGATTTAAATAAACTAGAGGGCAGGGGATCAAGTATGCAAGTGGAAGCTTTCATACGAGCTACCTGTGCACAAAGAGACTCAGAGGTGACTAAGGAAAAATTAGAGAAGGGTGTACCGGAAAAACTTGGTAGATTAGCTGTAGAAACATGAGAAGAACTAAGAATATCTTTGCGAATGTTATCAATTTTTAAACTGAAGAATTTAAGAAAATCATTGCATGTCTGAACTGACACAGTTAGAGTATTTGCACCATCTACTTTCAAAAGACTGTTATTAATGTGAAAAAGCTGCCTAGGGTTATTATGATTATTGTTAATAACCTGAGAAAAATATGAAGACCTTGCAGTGTCAATTTCTGCTTTATATTGGCCCAAACAGGTTCCCTTTCATGGGAACTTCGAACTGTGTCCTCTAGGAGTCGCTATGGGGAACGCCTTGTCGTGATCCGTGTCTGAAGCATACATTGAAAAAACACCAACTCGTTGGCCGGCGACAGCCATGACGTCACTACCGGTGCGACTA